TTTTTTTTTTTTTTTTTTTTTTTGGGGGGGGGGGGAAGGAGGGGCTACAGAATACTTGTTGCTTACGGTTACTTCCGATATCTTCAGTAATTACCGGTATAGATCAGAAAAATTAATAGTTTCATAGTATCGGTTGTAGCTTCGGACTTGAAATACTTCAAGTTTCTGCATTGCTTTTCAGATTTAGTAAACTTTTCTTGAAGTTCCTTCTTTAGTCTAATTGAGAAATTCGTTGTCAATTTCCCTATAATTACGTAAAATCAACATTACTGGTCCTCCTCATCCTTGTCATTCATGGTCCCCTTATTAGGAATTATTATTTCCAGCGAGCGCTAAATGGATATCGTAAATGCGCATCGATAGCAGCACACTATGGGATGAGTGATGTCTTCGATAATCTCGTCATTCATTTGTGCAAATTCTCCACTTTAATGTCTACTACTGAAGGTATCATAATTTCTTAATCAAATTTAATTCCCACTACTGTAGCCTGAAAGTTTTGATGATTTTTGCTCATGATAATTTTTTAAGCGGAAATTTTTATAAGCTATTGTGATATCTTTTTTTTAATTGGTTGATCCGTTGCTCCTGGCCCTAGTCACTACCCTCTTTCGTTCCCTCAGAGGGCCGTTGAGGTCCGTACTGCCTTTTACTTGATTTGTTTTTATGCCACTAAGTTAAGGAAGGAGGGAAAGGTTTGCTATGTAAGGAAAGAAAATATATATATTTCGAGATATTTTTAAGTATTTCTGCCACTCGCAATAAAACGCATGGTTCATGGGTTGTGCAAGCCTCTGGATTTATTTCGGTTACATTATAGCTTCTCATTGGTATGTCACGTATTAATTCTTTCGTCTGTGTTTACAGCCCAGGGATGAAACATGGACAGGCTACCAAACCAATGCACATACAGGCTTGCTTATTTGGGAGATCTAAATGCCACTTCCAGTTTTTCATTAATTGTCCAAATTCGATTGTGTTCTTCTCCAGGGTGTACCAATAATGCCAAACAAACTGCATATATTAACGCATAGAAGATTTCAGGCCTCAGTTCTCATCCAGTCTCCTTGCCAAGAATATTCATTGTAATTTTAATTTTAGATGATGTGTATTTATGTAAAAAGTAAGGTTTAAAAAGGAGTAAAAGGAGTGTGAATAAGATAAATCGGATTAAAAAACCTGAATAGGAATGTTTCGGTCCTTTAAGTCGCATACATTCCTGTTCAGTGCTGCTACTGGACCCCGTCAGTTTGACGGTTGCAGCAAAATTAACATGCAAATTGTCAAAAAGAAAGAAAGGGGAATTTTGGTAATGTAAAAAAGTTAGAGCAAAAGGTAAAAGTGCATTTAGGAAAAAACAAACCTCGACCATCATTGTTTGCATCTTTAAAATTTCTAAAACACTTAATTGAGAAATTAAAACGTTTTGCTCGCAAATAATCCACAGAATGAATTCTTTAATTTACAGTTGGGTTTCGTTTTTCACAAATGTAAACTCTACCTAGCTGTTGTTTGTTTTTTTTTCTTTCTTTTTTTTTTGTTATGAGATTTTTGCAATTTTCAGGAAATACAGGACAGAATTTGGAAATGCAACGTGGCGGAGTTGTACAGGAGGATTTTTGCCAGACTGCCGAGCAGATTGCAATTGCTTTCGGTGAAAATACAAAAGCACAGATGGCAGCAAAAGCGATGTTTCAGTTGGTTCATGCGCATGGTGACATTCTCAGAGAAGTGATCTTTAAGAAATTTG